GCTGGCCGATGAACCCCAACCCCAGGCCTGGCTCCAGAGAGGGGTCCCGGCTCTGCCGTACCGAGTGACGTCACGAGCCTTGCTGTAGTCCTCGTCATAAGGGTTTTTGAACTGCTCTTCGTCTGACCCGTCACCCAGAGCCTATTTGCCTTGGGAGACCCTACTAGGGGCATTTAGCCCCCAACAACATAGCCTCTGGGATCACCCAGGCACTGAAACCCCTCCACCACGTTAAGGTGGCGGTTCAAGGAGGAGACAATGTTTAAATATTACAGCTAAATATTACAGTTTTTTTTTTTTTACTGTAATATTTAAACATTGTTCAAATATTACAGTTAAAACAACTTTTACAGCCTTCTGGGAGTTCCGGGTTAGTGGAACATACAACTATAAGCTGCTTCTCCATGTTTAGTTTTAGTTCTAAGTATGCAGAACAGATTTGAACCAGAAGCCCTGAGGGGTCTGGGTGGTTGATACAATGATAAGTCTGAAATTGTGTTTGAACCTACATCCTTTGTGTCGTCCTTTTCTCCACAGCAGCAGCATACTGGATCAACTGCAGCTGTCTGACCTATTGAGGCAGACCTATAAAGGCACTATTGCATGGAGTAGTCTTTAAGGTCCTGCTGAGTCATTAGCCTTTAATTCTGCATATATTCCTCAAGTGATAGAAGGCCAACTTTTTTAATGTCTTATGAGCATCTAAAAGTTCAGGTCAGAATCCATCACTGCATCCAAATTTCGGGCCGGATGAGCGGTTTCCAGCTGTAGTAACTGAAGACCTGTGGCAACTATTGATCGATCCTCTGGTCCAAAAGTTATTTCCTCAGCTTTGTTTTTTTTTATTCAGCTGAAAAAACTATGTCTCATTTCCGTGTTGTTTCCTCTAAGCATTTATTCAGAGCTTGAATGGGTTCATAGTCACCTGGTGACATTGTAATGTAGAACTGAGCATCATATGCTTAGCTATGGTATTTAATTAATTTGATCAGCTTAGCAGGCAATATTGGGCAACCTTAGGAAACACTTTGATCAATGCAAGCTTATTGACAATAATAATAACACACAGACAATAATGACTTAAACATTCAATTGACCTGTAGCATCCAGACAGAGAAGCACAGAGAGTGAAAGGGGAGACCGTTTCTGAAAGGGTGAAATACAGCTTTTTTTAAATTTTCTTACAGATAAAGGGAAGGTTTGAGAAAGACCTGTTTTTCTGGAGTAGCAGCTCATCCAAGTTGTTCTTTTCAAACAGCAGTTTGAACTCTGGATCTCTGCAGGTTCTCCAGAGTGCCATGGCTGCCTCGTCTCCTTAACTGACCTGTCATTTTAGGTGAAAAGCCATGCATGGATAGGACCTACTCTTTACATTTTTCGATGATGGATTATCAAGGGTATGGGATAATGTATTATAACCATATGCTGTTTAAAAATTCTCTGTAACCTGTTTGATCTGCTTCTTGCTCCTCATATTTAACCAGGAACAACAGTTGAGTCACTGAATTGCATCTGACTTGAAATGCACGTATGAGGATGTAGTTGAAAACAGCAACACTCCAACTATGTAGGTTAATCAAATGAAAGCCACCAAAACTGACAAAAACTCCTGGATGTGGAAACAATTTTAGAAAAAACAGAGTGAAGGTCCATTTGCCTCGTATTTAAGACTGTTTTGTGGTCCTCATCTTTAGATTTTTTTTCACCTGATATCCCCTAACAAACCTATGAGGTCTTCAAAGGCCAGCTGGAGATTTAACATTTAATAGCAGGAAATCTATTGGAATGTATGCTATTTTAGGACTATCATAGCAAAGAAAGCTTTATAAAACTGTCTACCTCATTTTTCTTTTTTTTTTTTTTTATAATTATGCAATGGCTTTTTATTAATCCACAACAAGAAAAAAATCTTCAAAATCATGTTAAAGTTTGTGATATGCCTGCAAGTGCAGTTAACCATAACACTGGACCCGAAAGTGACAACATAAGGTGTTTCCTCTCTTCCCCCCAGGGCTTTGGCAAGCCTGACAGGAAGGAAATGGCAAGGCTATGGTCTCTGTTTACTATTTATTACACCAAATTTCTCAGAGGTACCAGAGAGGGGATTTGATGCTTGTGTGTAATTGTGTTAAAGCCCTCCCACATGCTATCCCCAGTGCATCTTCTGTCTCCTCTCCTAATCTGTGCTGTTTGTCTCCAGATAAGTGATATCCTCCTTAGATTAGGATCCTGTGTCCCTGTCCTTCCCACCCGGAGGGAAAGGGATCCCGGTGCATCCCCATGAGGTGGATGTTGTATTTTTAGCAGCCTAATCCTTTTATAGCTTCAGTCGTTTCCTTAATTAGTTCAGGTAATGGCTGCTTATTTAACAACAAGTTGCTCTGAGTGGATTTATGTTGGTAAATTGAACAAGTATGCAGAAGTTTGATGAGGCATACATTTTCAAAGCTGAACTTCTAAATTTATAAGGGGAGTAAGATTTGTGGGGTAGAGGTTTTCATGGTGTTTATGGCCCTGCAGGACAAGCCAACCTCATATCAAAGTGGAAACATTTCCTGGACTGAGATCCCAGTCACAGTGATAGGATCTGCACACACCATCAAACATGGTTGTTGTTTCTAATGATCACACAATAAGCCAAACTGTTGAATATTGCATGACCTCATAAAACTAAAGGCTGCTTCTCTGCTCAGTCTGAGGAGACAAACTGGGCTGTTGTAATCTTTGGCTTGTAGTTTGTTTTTTCAGAACTTGATCCATCCATTCCCCCTGTGTGTCTGAATCAATGTTTGTTTCACTATTTAGACAAAAAAATCACTGTCAATTTTCTCGAAACCAGAAAAGGAATAAAAAGCAAAATAGAAGAAAAATTAGCTTATTTCTATTTTTGTCAGTGAACTTTATAGCCCTTTGTTATAGCAAAGGAATTCATGAATCTTACTTAAATTATTAACGATCTATTTGAATTTCATTACAGGATAAAACTAGCTTTGCTTGTTTGGATTTTCTTAATATCTGATATAAATGGTTTGGTATTTTCTAAGTACAGAGTGTTATTTTATTTTTATTTTTTTATTTTCAATAGATATAAAAATGTTTGGCTTGAAGACAAGTGAACTGAGATGCGTGTGAGATCTGTTTCAGCTTTCACTCTCATGCAACAGGTGCTCTGAGGCTCAACATTTCTAACACTTAAAACAGTTTTGACATAACATCAGTCATTTCCCTTGACTGCATTTAAAAGTTTCCTCACCGAAGCGTTTGTTGCACTAAACAGATGTTTTCGAGCATTCAACTTGTGCGTTTCGGGAGCTTTTCTTATCTACAGAATTCTTTTTTTCTTTTGGCTGAGCTAGGATTGCTCAACCTCCTGTTAAGTCCAAGCCATCTGATAGCCAGGATTAAGTGAGTGGCTGCAAACATTAAAGTCTGCCAGACGTTTTGCAATGACTTCCTGTAAAAAGGGAGTTTAAGGGGCGGATTTAGGAATTATATCACCTGCTTTGAGCAGCAAGGCCAGCAGCAGCTAAAATACTGCTGAAAACGGCTAACCAAATATTTGACCCCTCCTCCAAAAAAACGTCTTGTATGGTTGTGATGAAACCCAGCTTCTTTTGGAGCCTTTTCACGAATTCTAATGAGCTGAAAACAGCTTTTGTTTGTTAAAAGTGAAACACATGGAGATAAATACACCACATGCTGTGCCAAGAACGAGCGGCCCACTCCCGAGGGCTCCATCTGCAGACTCACCCATCGCTCTTCCTGACTGCACTGCTTGCATGAATCTTAAAGAAACGCAAAACCTCCTGTGCTTCAGTATTCTTTATTTAATAATGCAGTGAATTATCACCGTGATCCTTATCTTATATGGTCTCATTGTCAACAATCACTCAAGTGCCAAATAAAATGTGATGAAGACGGATGGATTATAATGTCATCAAAATAGCAAAAGTAGAATTTATATAGAAAATAAAGGAAATACGTTTTCTCTCCATCACTCACAACTCTTATAACCAAAATAATCATATTTTAATGACTGTTAAATCATCACAGTACATATATATCTTTTCAATAAATAGATGCATTAGATATTAAATTATCTGCTTACAAATACATGGTGCATTTCATAAAAAAAAATGTCTATTTTCATTTTAGGTTATGACACAGAGAACAACAAAAATATAGACACTATAAACACACACACACAAAAAACTGCTCTCATGTCTGCTGTGGATTTGAAGGCACTTCCTTGGCGACACATTGATCCCTCTTCCGTTATATGGGGACCTGAAATTTAAATTGCAAAACAAAAATGTATGATTAAATATAACAGTGTTAGTGATTTCTGCATGTTTCAAAGCTCTATATTTAAACCCTGTTGCTCATTACTGGACGTGGAAATTTTTTCACACGATAACATCTTTTCTAGGAAGTCATGTCAGCTTCTAAAGAGGGGTCATTATTGGGCAGCCGAAGTTCACAGAAAAATGACCAGAATTACTGAATCATGACTCATTTCATACGTCTTCTGAATTTCGTCAATTGTGACACACCTGAGCTCTCAGAACAGAGCAGACAGGATCTTATTATCTGATTCCTGAGGATGTGTCAGCCTCTTCAATTATATTATAACCACCTAAACCAAATGACCATGAATGACCACTTAGGAAGATGAACTTGTGCGTGGCAATCACTCATCAGGATAGTTCTAATTGCATTCAATGTGAACACATGCTTTTACCTATGTTAGATTTAAAACCATCTAGACAGCAGAGAAATTGCAGTTTTTCAAAGCCTGCCTTAACAAAGGAATGACTACATATGCTGAATGATTTCACTGACGACAGTCATGGGCCTTCCTTTGACCTCAGGCATGTAGTGTGCTGCACATGTTTCTGACAAACCTGGTAATGCTTGGTATCATCTAAAGGCATTAAACACTTTACAATAACCATCCTTACCACCATTTATAAATGGTAAAGATACTATTTTTTAATGATTAACAGATACTTTAGTAATGTTTAATAATTTATGAACTGCATCCAAACCATCTATGAAAGGTAAATAGATCATATTGCCCTACCATGTTAGTTTAGCAATAACCATAACATCAGTGGACTTAACACCTGAACCTAGACTTTATTTTTATTCTGACTCTCCCTGTCATGTAGCTCTTACCATCTAACGTCGATGGACTTAATATATTAATAAATGATCTATTCACCTTTTAGATGCAGTTTATAAATAATCAAACATTAGTAAACTATCATTACTATTCATATTTGTTGGTTATTGTAAAGTGTAACTATATTCATTTATAAAAGAAAGGTAAGGAAATGTATTTGGGTTTGGAAAATGTATTTGCTCCTTTACTTACATCTTCTGTTTTAAATTTCTGCCACTCTTAGACAAGTTCAAATCCTTTAACAAATATCAGGAATAAATTCATATACTATAAT